CTGTCCCCCCCCCCCCCCACAATAGTTGGCAATCCAAAACAGTCCAGTGGAGCCTGAGCGGTGGGTGTTGCCTTCTGCCACACTTCCGGTGATGTCAGGGGGTGTGGCATAGGCAAATGAGTTGTGCTAATGAGTTATGCTAATGAGCTCCTGCACCTCTTTTTCTACAAAATGACCCCTGGTCTTGTGATAATTTATTGCTGTCTCCCCACCGGTTGCCCCACCATATGTTGACATGTTCCTACAAAAGCACCCTGGAACACTTTTTGCACTCTTTAGCCATAACAGGAGTCCAAGGAGTCCTCTACTTCCAGCACTGCTTTAGAAGCTCACTGTTCACTGCAGTCATACCCTGTTTGCCCAGTCTCTTGGACCCTTTTCTGACAATTAAATCCAGATATACTGGGAGTCTGGCAACTGCATCTGTCAGAAGCCGTCGCTACTCACAGTGCTTCCAATATACGTGATTGGTATGTTTTGTGAACAGGGGCAGTCTGCATCTTTGCCTGCATGTACAGCTTCAATATGGGCCAGCGAGAACTCTGAAAAATCCTGGGATCAAATTGTGCACCATGAAGCTGCGTACACATGCAAACTATTCCTGTTGCTACTTTTCATACAACATGGTGACCTTACGTATGAGGTAGAGTTACACATAGACCGATTTCACACAAGAGCTGTGCCGCGGTCGCGCCTCCCTTTGCCCCGCTTCTGTTGGTCAATTTCCCACTCGAAGCCGCGCGGCCGCGTTTTGACCCGCGGCTTTGCCTGATTTTCCCTGCAGTTTCGTGATCCTCAAAAAACAGGATGATGAAACCACGGGGGAAATCGGGCGAAGCCACGGGTCAAAATGCGGCTGCGTGGCTTTGAGTGGGAAATTGACCGATAGAAGCGGGGCAAAGAGAGGCGCGACCGCGGGGCAGCTCTTGTGTGAAATCGATCATAGTTAGTGGATTCAGGTGGGGGTAGCCGTGTTGGTCTGAAGCAGCAGAACAAAGTTTGAGTCCAGTCAGGCACCTTTAAGACCAACAACGTTTTATTAAAGTTATAAGCTTTCATGTTAGTGGGTTCCTGGTACATGCAGATGTAATGACTGAAAAGGCCTCTGGAGACAGACTTTGCTTCTAAATAAACAGTTCAATTTGACCATTCTCTTGAGATCCAGAGTGCAATGCAAGCAAACTGTTCTGAGCGTAGTGTTTTGTTCATCGCAATAGGTTTCCTTTACAGAAATGTCCTGGCCCCACTGGTGGACCTCCTGATGGCACTGGTATTTCTGGCCACTGTGTGATACAGAGTGTTGGGCTGGATGGGCCTTTGGCCTGATCCAACATTGGCATCTCTTATGTTCTTATGTAGATTTGAACATCATTTGGATTTATACCTGGCAACTGGTCCAATGTTTTAATTTGTTCAAATTAATATGGCAATAATTGTAATGCCCTGAAGCTTTGACATGAACTGAGAGATTTTGGCCTATTCACTTAAACTGTGCTGCCAAGAGCTTGTCACTGCAGCAGTGTATTAACAGTAAGGAACACTTCAGTTTTATCTTCTGTCTTTTACTGCTGTTTTTGAAGAGTAGAACTAAGCCATCATCGCGACATGCATGTGCCTTACTACTCTGTAGAAGCAGGAAATACCCATCAATTTAGTGATGTCACAGCTAGACAATAGAAACAGCCAAAGGTGCAGGAGCTTATTAGCATAACTTATTAGCATAACTTATTTGCATATGCCACACACCCCTACATCACCAGAAATGTGTCAGAAGGCAACACCCACCACTCAGGCTATGGGGGAGGGGGGGCATGTAGATTTGTCCTCGCAGAGGAGGGAGAGCTTGTACCTGAATAAAACTTGGTCATAAAGGTGCCACTGGACTGTTTTGGGCCGGGGGGGGGGCTCTGCAACTTACCTGGCTGCTTCTTGCTCTGACTGAGGGCTGCTGGGAGCAGGGGATGGGGTTTGTTGCATGTGCCCGCCCCCTGGGCTCTTTACTGCCGGACCCCTGGAAACAGCAAACTCCCTTTGGAGACATGAATGAGCATAAACCTAGCCAAAAGTTAGCAGAACATGGCCCCAGATATTCGAATCAGTGACAGAAAAAGAACAAATTGATGCTATTGAGATCAAATGGGGGGAAAATTCAAAATGACACTTCAGTTTCTGTGTTTTTTGCCACGCTGTTCCCTGTACCTGAAATAGCCTCCCTCTCACTATCCATCAACTAACTTCTCTTGTCTCCCATAAATCTAAAGTCCGTGTTTTCTATAAATTCTTCCTTAGAGAGGGCCCATCACACATTCTTTGCATGAAGAAGTCCCGCATTCTGCATCCACATTATGACCGACTGAGAGTAACTGTAGTTGTGCTGGTGAAAGGCACAAACAAAGTTTGCTGTGCTCATACACTCCCTTTCTTTGTCCCACCTCCTTCCATTCATAGAATTTGATTGAAGGTTTCCTGGTTTGATCAAGCTCCAATGCGCTATGACATCTGAATGCAAGTCCTAGGCCAGGGGTGTCAAACATGCAGCCCGGGGGTAGATCAGGCCCCCATGGAGGGCTTCTCTCAGGCCCGCAGTGGAACTGGCTGTCTTCTGCTTCTTCTTCCAGTTCTGCCGCTGCTGTGTCATCATAGGTTTGTAGCTTACAGATACACACCTGAACAGCATACTCAAGATTGCTACAGTACAGACATTTTGATGCAATAATTCAGAGCAAGAGGTGTCAGTTATCAGACACTGTTAATGAACAAAATATTGCAAGAGTGCTAATGTTTTAAGGATGATTTAAGTTTTAAAAAAACCCTTTGTGCCCTTTATAAAGTTTATATTTCCGCTACCGGGCATTACAATTTATGACACACATGGCCCGGCCCAACAAAGACTCATTTATATCAGATCCGACCCTCGTAACAAATGAGTTCGACACCCCTGTCCTCCTAGGCAAACCGGAGTTTGTTTATGCATCACAAACAGGGAGTTTGAACTTCAGTTCCCACTTTGTGGGAAGTAACCAAATTCCATTTCCCTCAAGTGCCTCCATTCAGAGATCAGATTTCATTCAAGCTCTGCATTCAAGTGGGGGAGGGGGGAGGGGGGAGCACAACAAGCAGACTGTGCTCTTGCTCAAGGTCAACAAGCAGCTGTTTAATCTCAGTGTGCTGTGCCAGCCGAATGCAGGAATGTCTAGCCACGGGTCTCTTTAGCTTTTTGGCCATCGAGCCACAGCTAACGTACGGTGACCCCGTGGCGGTTTCCAAGGCAAGAGGTGTTCCAAGGCGGGTTTGCCATTGTCTGCCTCTGCACCATGAGGTTGGCATTCTTTGGTGGTCTCCAATCCAAATACGGACCAAGGCCGGCCCTGCTTCGCTTCTGAGATCTGACAAGATGAGGCTAGCCTGGGCTATCCAGGTCAGGGAGAACCCTAACCAGGTCAACCACAGGTGTTTCCTATTCAAGGATCTCTGGTAGAAAAGGAGGGAAAGACCTCTGCCTGAGACCTCGGAGAGCCTCTGAGCGTCAATACTGGGCTGCAGGGACCACCCATCTGGTTTGGCCTAAGGGAGCACCATATGTTCGTCGTTTATGTTTGCCTTGTTTCTTTAAAATATGTATCAGCTGCCTTTCTACCTTACAGGAACTCAAGATGGTTTACGATACGAATGACAATTAAGTACAATTAAATTATAAAACCATCAATTTTAAAACAATGATTTTAGAATGCTGGCAGGCAGAAGAACTAAAATTAACCCCATGGCCATAATTGTGGCTCATCACGGCCTCCCGTCTCCTGTAGTCTCTGCAGCCAAATAATGCCATTCCTCACACACACACCCCTCACTCACACTTTGTTTGTATGACTCCTTTGTGGTAACCTTGTCCTCTACTCTTCGTCAGGCTTCAGCCTTCTAGGCAGGCACTTTGTTAGGTTTATGTTCTTCCGAATGATACCGTTTGTTTCCACGTGGCTTTAAAAAATCCGTATGTGAGGCCAGACTGTTGTCGTTACACACGTCTGCAGCAGGGCTATTTTTGGGCCGGAACGCAGAGGAACGGAGTTCTGGCTGGCTTCAGAGTTGGCCATGCCCACTACAGCCAAAACCTCTCTACAGAGGGAAGGCCTGGAGAGTGACCCCCCCACCCACCAAGGCGGGCTTGCCAGGGAAGGCCCTGCAAGGAGCAGGGAGGCATTAAAATCCCTCCCTGTGCCTCCCCCAGCCTGTCCAAGGGCCGGCTTGGCTGAGGTCCCCACAGCTGCGGGGCACCCGGGCAAGCCAAGGGAAGGCATGGGGGTGTGGCCTAATATGCTAATGAGCTGCGCTGTCAGGGTGTGGCATAATAGGCTATTGAGTTTCTGTTGGGTGTGGCCTATTATGCTAATGAGTTCCTGCTGGGTTTTTTCTACAAAAAAAAGCCCTGGTCTGCGGTTATAAATGTTCTCTTGGCTTCTGGTTTTTGCCGCTCCTAGCTATTATAGACTTTAATAGGGATTAATGGAGTAACACAGCAATGCCATTTTATGTCCATAATAATACAAAAACACTGTGTTGAAGACTTCCCTGTATTTTTTTTTAACCATCCCCCCCCCCCACCTCCATTTTTAGGGAAAGCTGCTGTTAAAACAAGAGTGGAGAATGTAACTGAGGAAGACTTCGATGCTTTGATTTCTTCTGCAATGAAAGCTGACAACACGTGTGGTTTCCCAAAGTGCAAAGCCAGCGTCATGACCCTGGGACAGCTCTGCCTGCATTGCAACAAACGATACTGTCTCAGCCACCATATCCCCGAGGTATACCTTTGGTCTCTCTTAGTTCATAGTGGCCTTCAATGTTCCCTCTAAGCTGTGGAGTCTTGTGAGCAAAAATTGTACTTTGTGAGCTACTGGCATTCAAGCTGTGAGTGAGTGATTTGGCTGCTGCTCCTAGCTATTTGCTCCGGAGCCATCTTTCCTGAGCGGAGACAAAAATGTGTGAGCCGGAGGCTAAAAAACTGTGAGCTAGCTCACACTAACTCAGCTTAGAGGGAACACTGGTGGCCTTTCTGATGATATGCAATGGGGGGGGGTCTTGTTTTGGAGCATTTCAGCATTTCCAGGAGGGCTTACACTCACAGCCTGGACAGGTGTTGAACCCGTCTCAGGACCAGACTGACGTGTGCCAGTCCACTGGCAAATAATCCACTCCTGCTCCCTTCAGCCTGTAAAATAAAATAAGAGAAACGAGATGCTGTCCTTGGACTTGGTTGAGAGGAGGGACTCTTTATAAAGAGAAAATGGAGAAGGAGGCGAACTGAAGGGGAGAGGCAAAGGATTAGGAAGATATGGAAACAAGCGCTTCCAAAATACACAGAAGAGAGACTGAAAAAAACCTACAATTTCTGTAAAGGGAGAGAACATGTGGATAGGCTAAGGCGATTAGGGATATTAATGATATATAGAAAGCAATATAAAATATATGATACTGTATATTAGTGTATATGAACTGTCTGCTCTCCCAAAAAGATTTAGGCTCAAAGAATTTAGGATAAGTTAGAGGTGAAGTATCGAGGAAGGTTTTGTACTTTTTAGAGGAAAAATATTGTGTGTATATGGTGTAGTATAAATGGAATTACAGTAAAATCAGGTGAGGATAGGAAAGCTGATGAAATTACTGTTGAACTGTTTATAAATTGGACCTGAGGACAAATGTAATGATTTAAATACCATGAATGTAAAATAGTTGTGTGACAGGAAACACATGAATTTATTTATATATGTTTATATTTTGATTGGTAAAATGAACTGCTGTAAGTTTAAGATGAGAATATGAAATGTTTGTCATGATAAGTATTATTTAAGATCTATAAATATGCTTTGTTGTTATAGGAAAGGATTTAAGAACTATGAACTATAATAGAAATAGATTGGGAAGATGTAGATTAGAATACAGTGATTATAGGAGTTGTTATGTACTTTCTAGAGGGACAATTAATTTTTTTTTAAAAAGTAAGACCTAGATGTAGGTGTTAATGGGGATAAGGTGAAGGTAAGAAACATAGACAGGAAGCTAAATGTAAGCAATCTATCTATATTGGTCTATATTGTGTTTATATGGTGTTATATAAATGGAATTATAGTAAAATCAGGTGAGGATAGAAAAGCTGATGAAATCACTGTTGAACTATTTATAAATTGGACTGGAGGACAAGTATTATGATTTAAATAGGATGAATGTAAAATAGATTTGTGGCAAGAAACACATGAATTTATTTATATGTGTTTTATTCTGATGGGTAAAATGAACTGCTGTAAGTTTATGATGAGAATATGAAATGTTTGTCAAGATAAGTATTATTTAAGATCTATAAATATGCTTTGTCATTATAGGAAAGGATTTAAGAACTATGAACTACAATAGGAATAGACTGGGAAGATGTAGATTAGAATACAGTGATTATAAAAGAGAGGAGGTATGAAATGTGGCCAGATAAAATATGGAAATATTGTATAGAAATCTACTTGTGAATATTGGGAAAAATTGGTTAAATACATGTTAGAGTAGGAATAAGTGAAACTTGTCTCAAGAAAAGAGGAACAAGCAAGATAACTATAGATAATGAAAATAGTGGTTGCTGGATATGCTTGAAAAAGTAAGAAATTGTACTTGCTAGGTGAATGTGTTGCTAGGTGAAAGATATTCTGCGTTAAGGGTTTATGTGTGATGTCTTGGGTGGTGGGCAGGTATGTGTGTAAAAAATCCAATAAAAATATTAATAAAAAAAAAAAAGAGAGAGAGGAGGGACTCCAGGGCTATGAAATACGTGTGCGGTATAATTCACAAAGGAACCATGCATTTTTTTTTGCCTCTAGTTTAAAATTCTAATGATGAGAAGGACCTCCCCAGTTGGGTCTGCAAGTGAAAAAAGAAATTGCTTGGATGTGCTGCTTTTGCCTATAGTCATTAGGAAAACTGAAATGTTTTCTTTGTTCTCCCTTTGGGTACTTTTTTATGGATTTAGTTTTTATTAGCTTCAGTGTATCTGGGGGGGGGAGGGGATCTCTCCTCACCTTTCCTCCTAGCAGTAATATAAGAATGGTTTTATTTTCTGTCGTGCTGCAGGACGTGTGTTGTTTATTTTCTTCTGCCAGGACATTTAAAAAATACTTCCACATCCTCCTTTCCCCTGTCTCTGACTTTGTAGGTATTGTATGTTTATATAGACATATTTATACACACACAAACACACACACATCTGAGAGAGCAGATGTATATAATTTTTCTTCAGAATGAATAGAATCTGAGTGGATGTCAGTCCTTAGCTAGAATGAACAGGCTAAGCCATTAAAGGCACTTAAACATTGCAGAACAAAGGATCTGTGCTTAACAATGTGTCACTGTTGAAATAATGGGATTCTTCAGGCTCCTTTTCCCTCTGGCGCAGAGTATGAGTCATTTCCTCTGTGCAAAAAAAAACCCCACCAAAGCACCTCTTTGCTTTTTCACCTTGCAATTTGCATTCATTCCCCAGAGCTTGTTTGGATAGTTATAGGAGGCCAGTGCTCTAGAAAAGAGGTACTATGTCAGACCCCCCTCTAGAAAAGTGCTCTGGAAAAGAGGTGCTATGTCAGACTCTTGGACAAACACTCTCTGGCAGTGATTTGTTTATTGAGAAATAAAGATGTTCCAAGGTAAGACTCTTGCAGTGTCAGAACTAAAGTTCTGGTGCCAAAATCCAAAGATGGCACTCAGGGAACCATGGCAGCCTGTTGCTCAGTTTCCTACATTCTGGTCCCTTCCCCCTCATTTTCAGGAGGTCGATGAGGGGGATAGCTACCTGGGTGAAATTGGGGATGAAGGGGCAATAGAAATTGGCAAACCCCAAGAAGGATTGTAGTTGTTGTCTGGTTTGTGGGGGTTCCCATCCCACTATGTCCTGAACTTTCCAGGGGTTCATGCCCAAGCCCTTCCCCAAGATGCGGTACCCAAGAAAGTCCAGTTCCTCCCAGTGGAACTCATACTTGGAGAGCTTAGCAAAAAGGTGGCTTTCATAGAGGGCTTTCAGTACATCCCGCACCAACTGCACATATGACTCCTTATCTTTTGAATATATCAATATATCATCTAGATAAACAAGGACCCCTTTGCACAAATGCTTGTGTAACACTTCATTGATCAAGTTCATGAACACCCCCGGGGCTCCGGCCAAGCCGAACAGCATCACCAGGTATTCGAATTGTCCCAATGGGGTGTTGAATGCCATCTTATGTTCGTCCCCCTCCCTGATGCATACACTGAAGTATGCATCATGTAAGTCCAATTTAGTAAAAATCCAGCCCTAGGAAGCTTTTGCCAGTAAGTCTTTGATGAGGGGGAGGGGGTAGGTGTTTGACATAGACACTGCATTCAACTCCCAGTAGTCTGTGCACAGTCTCAAACCCCCATCCTTCTTCTGGAATAGCACCGGGGCAGCAAACGGTGAGACCGCTGGCCTGATGAAACCCCTAGCCAGGTTTTTATCAATGAACCTCCACAACTCCTCCTTCTCGGCTGGGCTAATGGAGTACAGCTTCCCTTTGGGCATTTTGTGCCCCATCGATATCTCGATCGCACCCTAGCTACGTCCCAGTACTCAGGGGGGATGAAGTCCAGTTCTTCTCTTGCCAAACTCACACATTCTGCAGCAGGTTGGGGTACCGTATGGGAGAATATTAAATATTCAGAAGTTTAAATTAAAAGGTTTGCTGTTTACATAGATTTCTTGCATCAGAGGGCTACACATTGGACACATTGTGAATTGGCAAAACAAAAGGCAGTTTTAACAGTCAATTCCCTACTCACAAACAGTCACATCCTCTCTTTGTTCACATGCATATCTGTGATTACATGGGCGAATATTGGTGTGACCCAGGCTGTGCCCAGGTACAGCTATAGCTCTTCCCATGACTGCAATGAATAGGAACAGCACAGATGCAGTTGCAAAAGTAGCTACCAGATGTTTCACCATTTGTCCTGGTGTATGCAAGTAAGGGAACTGGATCATGCGAACAGGCTCCAAACAGTTACAGAAAAGTAGAATTCCCATTAAGGCTTTACTGCTGAATTCTACTAAGTCTGACATGAGGAAGTAAACATCTTCTCCTTTTTGGGATACATAATCACAAAAGTACTTTTTGTTAAGTTCAAGTTTTCAAGAGTGATTTTTCTCCCCCTGAATATAAATCAGTCCAGCTGTTATCAAACTGTCACAGGGGGTCACATGTGGTACTCAAAGGTCCATGCCTTCAGCCCAAATTATGGGCCAGGTCACAGGACTAATTAGAAGGCCCGTGTAGTCACAGGCAAATCTCCAGCTGACTTGATTTGCAGATCACGCACCATTTGTATTGTCTGAGAAGGCGTTTGTAATTTTCTTCTAGCTGGGGGGGGGAATCGAGATGTGCAGCTTGTTAAAATGAAATCTTCTGACATAACATAAATGAAGCTTCAGCCTGTTTCACCCTATAATGAATTTTTCTTCCTTGTAACTCTGCCTTCTTGCATTTCATCGTATACTTTGTAACAAAACTGGCTCCCATCAAAACTGTTCTTTTTAATCATTAAACACCCTACTTTTAAACAAATTGAGATACCAGCTTTTTCTCTCTATTTGTTTATTCATTTCTTCATCGTTCAAGGTGGCTTACATTTTAGGGTCAGCAGCTGTGCCAGGGTGCAGGGCATGCTTCTGAACCAAGGGTGGAAGATTGGCAAATGGTCTCCATCATCTGCTTCCTAAGGGGAAGGAAAATGGGGTCTTGGGAGAAGGCAGACGTGCCTGGTAGCAGCATAGATCCAGAAACTCAGGAAATGTTAAAGAATGTGAAGTCCAGAGAAATCGCCCTCCTATATTGTAATTGTCAGAAGAACTGGTCTTAAGCACAGGTACTCTTGATTGTGTTGTTGTTCTTTGCAGCGATCATTTTGTAGAAAAAGAGGTGCAGGAGCTCATTAGCATAACTCATTAGCATAACTCATTTGCATATGCCACACCCCCTGACATCACCGGAAGTGTGTCAGAAGGCAACACCCACCGCTCAGGCTCCACTGGACTGTTTTGGATTGCTAGCTGTTGCGGGGGTGGGGGGGGGTAACGTGCAGATCTGTCCTGGCAGAGGAGGGAGAGCTTGTACCTGAATAAAACTTGGTCTTAAAGGTGCCACTAGACTGCTTTGGGCCGGGGGGCCGGGGGGAGCTCTGCAACGTACCTGGCTGCTTCTTGCTCTGACTGAGGGCTGCTGGGAGCAGGGGGCGGGACTTGTTGCATGTGCCCGCCCCTGGGCTCTTTACTGCCGGAGCGCCGCTCCTGTGCACTCCTGCAGGAAATGACCCCTGGTTCTTTGCATTAAATAAGTTTTTGGCCATATTGATGCCCAGTTTCTCAGTAAATTCTGGTCTCTGCATCTAACAGCAGCTCTCAGGGGTCTCTGCCAGAGAAAAGTCTTCCCTGCCATCTACTTTGTGGGATCCTTTCGACTAGAGATTTCAGGGACTGAACCTGCAGCCTTCTGCATGCAAAACACATGCTCTACTGCTGACCCCACTGTCCCTTCTCAAAGTGTCTCTGAAAACACTCCACAGCGTATTAGAAATGGGGGGCGGGGCACTAGACAGTGGGACCAGAGGCTGAACCTATAGTGACTGTTCTCTACTTTTCATCCCCAAAGTCCAATCTGAATTTCATTGCATTGTAACCACCCCCTCCCCCATATCCTAACAGACAGGAACAGTTTGGGAAGGACACATTATAGTCTTCTGACAGGGTGAATGATGCAGGGTAGTTTTGTAAGCAAATACTGAATGTTGACTAGATGGCTTTTGTAAGCATACCTCAGGCGTATAGTCCCTTAGGAACAGCTCCATAATTGCAGCCACAATTCAGGGTTGGCTGCTTTAGATGAAGCTGTGTACCTGTGAAGAGCTCTGTTAATTGCTGAGGTCAGATTTGGAGGCTTCCTCCCAGTTCGGGGGTGATTTAAACTCGGAAATGTGGGCTGTTATGACCTGTGAAAACATTGCAGGTAGAAGCAAAAATGAGGTCAGAGCAGCGCCGTAGCTAGCAACGTTTTGCTGGGGGCCCCCAATTTTTTGCTCAGGGGGCCGGCCATTATATCTCTATGGAGCTATGCACATTCTTTCCTCCCCACCCCAGACTGTGCTGGTTCAGATGGGGCCGATCGACTAACTGCAAGCCAGTGTACTTCAGAGCTGCGGAGTGGACAGCTGGAATCCTGTGCCTTGTCCCGCGCAATGACTTTCCTGTGATCCCATGCGGCCCCCATTTCACTGACAGGCTTGTAGCTACTGTGGAGCTCAGGGGGAGGAGAAGCCAAGGCTCCGTTTGGGGGCCCTGGAAGAAATGTTAGGGGGCCGGGCCCCGCGGGCCCCGCGTTAGCTATGAGCCTGGATCAGAGGAAATCCTCCCCTTCTTTTTTCAAACGACCTCATGGCGATCATACACTTTCCACAGCAATTTGTGTTTCCTGTGCGATACTCGCTTATAGAGAGCAACCGCGGCTATGGAGTGCTCTCGGTGCCTGAACTCCAGCACCATTTTCCCAAAAAATGCCAAATAGGCAGTTGCTGGGTCTTTCTTGATGTGGAAGGGAGGTTCCGGCTGAAGCCCTTTGGTAAATTCTGGGTGCAGATCAGGGGCTGGAGCCTGGAGCCAAATCGCAGACGCACGGCTGAAGAGTAGATCTCTATGACTTGTACTGTAGAAGCCCTTCTTCCTTCCCCTTCAGTGCCTCCTCCTCCCTGTCACATGTGTTTAGTGTGGTTTGGTTTTAAAGCCGTCAGCCCTTCAAACGTCTTTTGCGCAAACAGCAGTTGGTATCGGAGCCCACAAGTAAGATGTTAGCTAGCAGGACTGATTCTCTTGCATGCAGGAGAGTTGATTCCTACCTGCTTTTCTTTCGGATTTGATTGCACCACCCACAGGAGAATCGGCACCTCGTATTTCATTTTGTTAATCAAAGGGGCGACTCGAACACTTAATGGCCTGTCTGCGCATCAGAGGGTTTAATAAAGGGTCTCAGTGTGGACCAGGATTAATCCGATTTTTGAAGTTGTTAATGGGTAATTAACGTACAGCTGAATTTAGAGCTGCGAAAAGGCAGCAAAACATTCTTACTATTTGAATCTGTTATCATAGATGCAATCCTGGCTCCCGTAAGAATTCACCAGCACTCTTTTAAATTATGACCAGTGTTCCCTCTAAGCTGAGTTAGTGTGAGCTAGCTCACAGTTCTTTAGCCTCCGGCTCACAGATTTTTGTCTTTGCTCAGGAAGGGTGGCTCCAGAGCAAACTAATTCATGCAGCAGCCAAATCGCTCGCTCACAACTTTAATGCCAGGAGCTCACCAAGTAGAATTTTTGCTCACAGGACTCCACAGCTTAGAGGGAGCCTTGATTATGGCAGTAATTTATTATTTTCTCTTTAAATTTGGTTGATGCTGCAAGCAGGCCACAGTGTGGTTCATGGAAGTGCCAAGCATGCAGTTTATTTTAATGTCAAGGGTCGTGTTTGTATGCGTATTCCTGTGCATTTACTTGTGTCTTCTGATGCTCTGTTCCGGATTGTGACTCAGAAACTCTTGCGTAAAGCCCCGGGCCCCCAACTCGCCCTCCTTTGCAGTCCCTCACCACAGCATTCATTCTTCTGTCTACTCTTATGAAAACAGACTCCTCGTAGCCGTGAGTAGACAGCATACAGGCTGCTGACAAATGTGTAGTTGCTCCCAAAACAGAACACAGCGGAACAGCGGTGACATTAGAAACAATTTAATAGAAGTTGGTATCACATCATCACACTCACACAGACCATATGAAAAGTGATGTTAGGGTGTCTTTTGTAAACCCCTTTCTATGGGGTGACACCAAACGAGTGGTTAGTGAGGTCATTTGGCAGGTGTGGGTTTCACCTATCTGACTGATATCCTGCTCCAGGGCTCTTTTTGTAGATAAAGTGCAGCAGGAACTCATTAGCATAATAGGCCACACCCAACTGCAGAAACTCATTAGCATATTAGGCCACACCCACGACAGCACAGCTCATTGGCATATTAGGCCACACCCCCATGTTGCCAGAAGTGTGCTCATCCAGCCACACCCACCTTTTGCTTCTTATTCTGCTTACCTTGTTTGTTGTCAAAACCCAGGGCCTTTTTGTAGCAGGAACTCCTTTGCATGTTAGGCCACACACCCCTAATATAGCCAATCCTAATGAGTTTCTGCTGTTGGGTGTGGCCTTTTATGCTAATGAGTTCCTGCTGGGCGTGGCCAACTTGGAAGCCAGCCGGAACTCCGTTCCTGTGCGTTCCGGCCCAAAAATAGCCCTGTCCTGCTCTACCTTCAGAAAGTGCAGAACCAGTAGAATGGGTTCCCCCCTGCAGTTTCCCACCCAGGCTGAAGCCTGTTTAGCTCTCTTGATGTAACAGCATCACACACCCTCAAACCCTTTTGTTGAGGCTTCTGGGGTTTCTCCAAGTTAACTGCTTTCACTGGAACTGTCAGTGATGCGTGTTATTATATTGATAGGACTTGCTGAATCTTGACTTCCATCCTGCCTTCTGTGGGTTTTAGAAAATGGCTTTAGTATTTATTAGCCACAGTGATGAAGGTGCCCAGATGATAAAGTGACAGTCTCCCTCCATTCTTAGAGTTTGTGAAGAAAATACTTAAGCTGTCAGAAAGGATGATTTAATTGCTTTGTGGGTTGGGGGGGGGGGGATAGTGCTCCAAGAGTACCAGTCGTTTGTATTGTGCCAGAATGTTTCATGGCAGTTTGGTTTCTGCCACTAAAGATGATGGCTTTATCTCCCACAGATTCATGGGTGTGCGGAGAAGGCCAAAACCCACGCCCGGCAGAGAATCAGCAGGGAAGGCGTTCTGTATGCTGGGAGCGGAGTGAAAGACAGGTCCGTGGACCCGGCCAAAAGAGCTCACCTCCAGAGGCGCCTGG